CAATTTCCTGAGGAGGAGGAGTTGCTGGGTTGGGTGGTCAGCCCAGGGGTGTAAAAGGACAAGGAGGTGAGGCAGGCTTTGGAGAAGCCACATGAGAAATACACGTAAAGAGGCTCCAAAAGGGATATATGAGACCCAAATATTTTGGAGGTTTATAGATCAACTTTTTTGCCAAAGTAGCTTTATGATCAAAATGTCAGATCCTGCCCTGTAAAATATGTATTTTCACTGAAATAGCAACTGTTCTACAAAAAGTTTCACACCAGAAAAGGATTACTAGCTCATCTAGGATTAATGTTCACTCTTCAAAAGATACCTACCATAAGACCCAAAGACACATGTAAAAGATGACACCAATGACTCTAAAATGTAAATGTTTGTGTTTTAATAGAGAAAATTCTAATAGCAGTGATTCATGTCACTAGGCTATCCATAACTCCAAAGGAGAACAAGTATTTCCAAAAACAAATTTAAATTAAAAGGCTTCTTTTCTGCAGAGAGAAATCCACATTTTCAGACTTTGTAACCAAAGTTACAAAACGGAAAAGCTGCAGGTCTGACTAATATGGACTGCTGACCTTAGGAAAATCCAGGCTGTATTTCTGACTATGACTACTAATTATACATCCACTTTTAAAAATAAATTTCTTACTTCGACTAATTTTAGATTTACAAAAGTTTACAAAGGTAGAATTCCCATATACCCCTCACCCAGTTCCGTTTCCCCTAATGTTACCATCCTATTTTATAGTGGTACAGTGTCAAAAGTAAGAAACTCAACATTGGTATATGACTATTAACTAAACTCCAGACTCGATTCAGATTTCACTAGTTCTTCCATTCATGTCCTTCTGTTCCAAGGTCTCATCCAGAATAATACATTGCACTTAGCTGTCATGTTTCTCTACTGTCCTGTTCTATCAGTTTTTGAGTCTCCCCTTGTTTTTCATACCTTGACAATCTTGAGAAGTACTAGCCAGGGTAGACAGAGTGTAGCAATAATAACCAAACATTTACAAAAGAATTAACATCAATCCTCAAATTCTTCCAAAAAATAGAACAGGAGGGACACTTCCTAAATTATTCCACAAAGCCAGCATTACCCCTATATCAAAGCCAGATAAAACATCACACACACAAAAAAAACTGAAAACCAATATACTTTATGAGCATAGATGCAAATTTCCTCAACAAAATACTGGCAAGCTGAATACAGCAGCATATAAAAATTGTACATCATGACCAAGTGGGATTTATGCCAGAACTGCAAAGGTGGTTCGACGCACAAAAATCAATTAGTATAATATACCCAACATTAACAGGATGAAGGAGGAAAAAAATGATCATCTGATTGATACAGAGAAAGCATCTGACAAAATCTAACACCCGTTTGTGATGAAAACACTCAAACTGGCAACAGAAGAGAACTTCCTCAACATGGTAAAGGGCATTAAAAAAAAAAACCACAGCAAACATTATACCCAATGGCGAACGACTGAAAGCTTTCCCCCTAAAATCATAAACAAGGATTCCCACTTTCGCCATTTATATTAAACATTGTACTGGAGTTCTAGCCAGAGCAATTAGTCAAGAAAAAGAAAAAAAGGCGTCCATGTTGAAAAGGAAAACATAAAATTATCATTTATTCACAGATGGCATGATCTTCTATAAAGAAAATCCTAAAGAATCCACTTTAAAAAAAAAAAGTATTAGTTAATAAACAAATTAGCAAAGCTACAGGGTACAGCATCAACACAAAACTTAGTTGTATGGCTAAATACTAGCAATAAAAAATCCAAATATGAAATAAAAAAAAATTTAATTTATAACAATACCAAAAATAAAATATTAAGGGAAAATTTAACCCAAAAAGGCACAGGACTTACACACTGAAAACTATAAAACACTGCTGGAATAAATTAGAGACGGCCTAAAGAAATGGAAAAACATCTTATGTTCATGGATTAGAAGACTTAATAATGTTAACATGGCAATACTCTCCAAAGTGGCCAAGAGTCAGTGCAATCCTTATCAAAATCCTACTGACTGTTTGCAAAAATAGAAATGTTGATCCTGAAATTCATGTGCAATTGCAAGGGACCCTAAATAACCAAAATAATCTTGAAAAAGTTGGGAGAATTCATATTTCTGATTTCAAAACTTGCTACAAAGCTACAGTAATCAAAACAGTGTGGAAAGACCTGTATACCAATGCAACAGAACTGAGAGTCCAAAAATAAAATCTCACATTTATGGTCAATTAATTTTCGAAAACTGTGCCGAGACCATCAACAGGGAAAGAATTTGTTGAAAGACTATTAGAAGACTAATAATCCCTCAACAAATTGTGCAAAGACAACTGGATAGCCACATGAAAAAGAATGATGTTAAATTCTTGCCTCAAATTAACTCAAAATGGATCCAAGATCTAAACATAAGAGCTTAAACTATAAAACTCTTAAGAAGTAAACACGGGAAAATCTTCATGATCTTGAAATTAGTAAGGGGTTTTTATTTATGACACCAAAAGCTTAAGCAACAAAAGAATAAACAACTTCGAAATTTAAAAAATTTGTGCAAAGGACAGTATTAAGTGAACAATCCACAGAAAGAGACAATATTTGCAAATCATATCTAATAAAGATCTAGTATCCAGAATATATAAAGAATTCCTACAACTCGACCAAAAAAAGCCTGATTCAAAAATTGGCAAAGGGTCTACGGCCAAGCTACTCTGAACAAGCCCCATCCCGTCTGATCTCGGAAGCTAAGCAGAGTCAGGACTGGTTAGTACTTGGACAGGAGACCAGAAAGGAAGACCAAGTGCTTGCTGTAGGCATAAAAAAAAAAGGGACTGTAAGCTGACAAGGTCCTTGCAATCTGTGAGGTGACCAAGGGCTGCCTCGCCTAAAAAAAAAAAAAAATTGGCAAAGGACTTGAAAAAACATTTCTCCAAACAAGATACACAAATGGCCAACTAGCACATGAAAGATGCTCAACCTCATTAGCCATTAGAGAAATGACACTCAAAAGCACAATGCGATACCACCTACTAGGATGACCACACCCAAAAAAATCAGAATATAACAAGCATTGGCAAGGAGGTAGAGAAACAAACATATGCTGCAGGTGGGAATGTAAAATGGTACAGTAAATACGGAAAAAAGTTTGGTGGCTCTTCAAAGCTTTTAAAAAAACATAACATAGAATTGCCACATGACCCAGCAATTCCACTCTAACAAATGTATCCAAAAAAAACTGAAAACAAATATTCAATCGAATAGCTGTACACAAATGCTCAAGGCAGCATATTGACAACAGCCAAAAGGTGGTAACAACCCCAAAGTCTATCAGTGAGTGAATGGATAAATGAAATGTAATGATATTCATACAATGCAATATTATTCAGCAATAGAAAGGAATGAAGTAGTGATACATGTTACAACTATGGATGAACCTTGAAAACAATATGCTAAGTAAAAGCAGCTAGATACAAAAGTTCACATATTGTGTGATTCTATTTATATGAAACATCCAGAATAGGCAAATCCACATACAGAACGCTGCCTAGTGGTTGCCAAGGACTTGGGGGGAAAGTGAATTGGAAATGGCTCCTTATTGGGTACGGGGTTTCCTTTTGGGGTGATGGAAATGGAACTTAATAAGGTGATGGTTGCACAATGCTGTTAATCTACCAAATGCCGCTGAACACTACACTTTAAAATAGTTAATGGTTAATTTATAGTATGTGAATTTTACAATTGTTTTAATGGGAAAAAAGTTCCAGAAGGAAAAATCTTTTGGAAAACTAGTGAAAAACATAAAAGCAAAGCTTAAAGAAAATACAACTCAAGGGCATTAAAATACTAAAATTTTAGAGTTCAATTTAGACATACACTTCTGGTATTTTCAAAATTTCTGAATAATTATGCCTGAAAGACTTAATGTACAATGTAAAAGGTTCAGTCATTCTGTTATACACAAGACAGTGAAGGTACATTACTCAATTCACCATGTTTTAAAACGAGTTAAGTTGTATGCAGAACTGATGGCCTGTCTGACAGTAACACAACAGCAACCAACTGATGACTATTAGTATGGGACAGATATTTGGCTAACTCACACTTTCGAATTTTCACAACCATCCTTCCCTTTTTCTTTTTTTTTTTAACAGATGAAGATAAATGGGCTCATAGAGGCCCCCCAAGACCAATTAATTGTTACTTGGTAGAAAAGGATTTCAAACATTTGTATCTCAACTCTATGGACAAACCTGTGAGATCATGATCAAGTTATTTAACTTCTCCAAATCTCAATTTCCTTATCTGTAGAATGGAAATGGTTGTTGTGAGAATTAAATAATAATACTGTCCCTATGATGGAATATAAAGCCCTACAAAAAATATGTACGATGTTCTCATCCTTAAGGATGGCTACCAAGTATTTCAGGGTAATGTGTCTCCAACTTATTTTCAAATAGCTCCAAAAAAATAAATACACACCGCACCGATGTATAAAGAAAACATGGCAAGACATTAACTGTTGGATTTGGATGTATAAACAAGGGTAATTTTACTATTCTTTCAACTTTTTAACATTAAAAATTTTTCATAATAAAAAGTTGGAAAAAATTAAGAAGCATTTCCTTTCCTAGTTTGGACCAACTCAAATATATTGTCAAGCAAGGAAAACAAAGTATGTGTGTCCCTAGAATAAAATATCCTTGGAAGAATACATAAGAAAATATCTACTACATTTGTGTCAGTAACTAAAGTATAAAAGTAGAAGATTTTTCATCAGTTATTACTCTAGCTCTACCATTTTTTCAAATATTTTATAACCTTTTGTAACTTTTTAATTAAACCATAAAATTTGTCCTCTTCTAATACATAATACTGAATGGCCTATTCGTCAGAAACTGTCCCGAATCCGAAAATGAAATCCACGTAAAGGGCAGCTCTCATCGGGTTACAATCCTGAAATGTTTGAAAGCATTTTTCCTCATTTAAAAGCAAAACAAAACCAAAAAACCAGGGGAAAAAAATCCAAGTAAAATTTATCCCATAATGAGTACGAAATATGAGATCATTTATAACAATTTCCTATTACTGTCCATAACCATCTCCTTTACAAAACAACATAAGAAAATTGGTAATAAACCAATTTCAATCACTTTGAGCTAACATGTGGTTCATTCTACCAGATTCCTCCTCTATTAAATTTAACGACTGTATAACAGGTAGAACAGTAAAACACTGTACTCAAGAACTACTCAAGAGATTTCGATTTCCTTTATATTCCCCAAATTCTGTTATTTTATCTCCTTAACATCCAAAAATTTATCACCACTTGAAAATGGATAATGAATAACTGCCATATACAAAACCCAAATCCTGAAAGTATCAAGCAGAAAAACACCAAATTCATTCTTAAATTGTCTAAACGTATAAAGTTACACAAGCCTTAAAAGTAAACTCCAGTAAACTGGAAAAAGAAAATTACAGAACGACACTGCCAATGTACCTCTCCTACGTTAATAAAGCGTTTAGAACAGGAAGATGCTCACACAAATTAGTAACTAAAACGTGTACACTAATTAAAAGGCTTCGCTGAAAACAGAGTGAAGAAAAACTGAGGCCAACGTGATGGGGACAGGAATGAATCATTTTGGACTCAAAAAGAACTACCACGGACATTCCAAAACTACTTGAACACATGCAGAGCCCCAGCGCTAATACTGCAATGAGAAAACCGTCTAGGAAGAGGGAGTTAAACAAACGCCTCTGACACCCCAGTTGAAAACGACTATAACCCACAGAAGTAAGCTCCTGAGCAGCTCGGCGGGCACTCGGAGGTTTGGTTCCCCGCCGCAGTCCCCGAACACCTCTGTCCACCCCTCCCCTCCACCAGGGGGGTGGGAGGAGTGCCCGGAAAGCTCCGCCCCCTCTCCGCCAGAGAGCCAAGCGGGTGCAGGGGGAGGCAGCACGAGGCCGAGGAGAAGGGAAAGCCCGCCCAGGTGACTGGAGGCGGAGACAGTCTGGGAAGGGGGCCGCTGTACCGCACGAAAGATGGAGCCCCCCCTCCCCGCCCCAGTCCGTACGGAACTGGGACTAGGAGGAAAAAGGTGCAAAGGAGCATGAGAGGGGCCCCCACTACAGGTAAGGGAGGGCACACTCTTGCCCCCCACTTAGGGCGGAAGAGTTACTCTCAGGAAGCTTCTTTTGCGGACGGGAGGAAGAATGTGCAGGCCCCGCCCCCGAGCCAAGAATCTGGAGAAGGAAAAGTCCTGTCAGGCCTCGGGCCCAGCCTCCCCGGCGGCCCGGCCGGCCCGCCCCCT